ATTTTCAGTGAATCCGGCCTCCCCGATGGTATGCAGCAGATTTCGATCAAATCTGTCCTGGGCATATCCCGTCATCAAGTTAAGAGATGGGGCATTGAAGTCTCCAGCTATGACAATTTGATCATAACCCATGTCTTGTGTCGCTGAAATTGCATTCAGCAGTACCTGGTTGTGGTCTGCTCCACATGAAGGTGATCTGTAAATGCTGCCCACTAGATACTTACAGTACCCAACGGTGAAATGGCACCATATGGAGTCAGGGAGCTCAATGAGGGGAGGGTCGATTGCATGGACACATCTGAGCTGTTTGTCGACGTATATGGCGACTCCACCTCCTTCTTTCAGATCCCTATCTCGCCTGACTAGGACCATATCATTTATACTGACTTCGCTGTCTGCCACCGTAGGGGTTGGCCAGGTTTCCGTCAGTATTATGATTTTGGAGTTCAGCTGTGATTGTAGGTATCTAAGTTCAGCTATTTTACCTCTTAGACCTCTCACATTACTGTACAGGCAACTGGTAGTCAGTCTCACCACGTCCCCGTATTGGGGGGTGGTTGACGTGGTGTGGGCTGTCGGTTGAGGAGTTATCCTACGAACTAGTTGGCCGATTCCCCGGGAACCGGCCTGTTGGCGTTTTTTTCTTCTGATTCAATCGGAGCACTTGGATGACACTGGCTATCATCGTCCGTGCTGCACCGCTGTATTGTGACTAGGGGTTGGGGATGTTCTTTGACAACGTTTTGTTCTCTCCTTTGGGTACGAGGCCGGCTCTCGCAGCAGCGAATGTGTCTGCTGACCTTGTCCTTGGTCTCGTACCATCTCTGGAGAGCAGTATTCAAGTGGTCTCGGGAGCTGAACTTAACAGCTAACAGACGTGGAGTGTTAATTGACATTAGGCGAGTGGGTCGAGGCAGTCTAAAAATAGAGACAGCCCCTGAACTTCCCAGAGCCATCTGGGATGCCAACCATCTCCATCGCTGTACATCGTGACAGTGCTTCTCACAAGCATTCCCACTTACCAGTTTGGGAATGCCGTGAACAACCATGGAGGCAGAAGAAATAAGCTCTGGCGACTCCCTCGCCATCTGTCTTTCCTTCCATGGCCTATCTGGCCTAACACGTATATTGCAGGTCCTCCCTATAGAAAGGACTTGGGAAGTCAATAAAACCTTTTCGGCATCCTCGGTAGAGCCCAGTGTCACCCTCAGAGGGGATGGTTTGCCTTAAGGAGCAGCAGTGCCCCTATACAATCTACATAATTTTACTGGTTGGATGTCCAGACCCAGTGTGCTACATAAGTTGGACCAATGTTCCTGATCAAACAGGGCCCTGTTTTCCAACAGACTACTGCTACAGTCTGGTACATTAAAGAGGATAACGCAGTTTGATCTACTAACCGTGGATTTAGGTTCGATCCTCGCACATTTGTCATCCCCCTTAAGACCGTTTTGTTTCGTCTGGTGCAACTGGGTATTATTGTGTGTCGCAGTGCTGTGGCCACTTTTACTGGTGGACGGTAAGGGTCTTTTCCCAGCGACAGATACCCTTGGTGCTTCAACCTCTGTGTCTGGGGCAGTTATGGCAGGAATTGCAAGTATAACCGGTGTAGATTTTGGTATCCCCCGATTTACGTGCAATTGTGCTGTTTTCTGAGTTGGTGGGAGTAAAACGTTTTACATTTTTCCCTGATACCTCTATGCCATCTTTAGCTTTCGAGGAACACAAGGCTGCATCAGGACGGCAACTCGGACATATGTACCAGAACCATGGGCATGGGTTCTTACGCATAAAATCGTAACATACTTTTGGTACCCCGGTGTCACATCTACAATGTACCCATTGCATGCAAAAGTTGCATTCGAAAGCAGAGTCTACTTGTTCGACAACAGAATTGCAGACCTTGCAATCGTCTGCCTTCTTGGGGAACGTTTTCGTCGTCTTGCGACGTCGTGAACGTTTCTTATTGGCCTTCCTGTTTGTTTCAATGCCCACTGTGGATATGGGTGTCATACTATTCTCACTTTGTGCAGATTTACCACTCGGCTCTATTAACCTAGTCGTTTTAACAAGGATGGAGCCACATCCGCTTAGTTGACTTTTCACAGTTTCACTGTAGGACTGCGGTGACATGGGCAATCTGTCCACGCAGGGAATATTTACCCTGGTCTTCAAGACCAGTATGCGAGATTCCATCACCTTCACCAGTTTGCCTAATTTGGCTGAAGCCCTGGTGACTACGGTGTACGGTCTCCCATTACTTAGCTTAGGGTGAGAATCTATAGTCATATTAGTCCTAAATTAATACCGATGATTAAATAATGAGAGACAGTGGAGTTTTGTCCAATAGACAGCAAAAGACAATAGAAAGCACAGAACAGAAAGATAAAGTATATAAGTAAAAGCTTTTGACTTTACCTGTAACTTTCGGGTTATTCGGCTTCACAACAATCACGTAACAGACCAACAAGTCCTGTATATTTGAAAGAGTGAGGGGGATGTTGCTGCAGAAGTAGCACCTGAAGCTTAGGCAGTAGTTCGAGACAGTGGGAAGTACCAAACACAGGGTCGGTGAAGAAGAAATGGTTGAATAAAATTCGCCGGATAGGAAGATCAGGTTTCCCAAACGAATTATTCACAAAAGTGGATATTTCCTGTTAGAGAGGAAAATGCACGTCGTATTCAATGTCCGCACTTATGTTTCATGAAGGTAGAAAGTCACTTATTTGTGAAAATTTTAAGCAGCTATTTCGAGACAATTAATGAAACCGAAGGCAGATTCCGTGCGATATTTCATTCGTGTGTTATTTCACAAGAAGAGTACTTGAAGTGCCAGAGACAGGTATGCATGTAGGACGAATACACTTTCAGTCATCCGAAATATTGCACTACCCTATGGAATTTCTTCACAACGCACCTTACTAAACTAAAACCTTCATCAAGAAAACTTCATCCTAATTGTATGTGTGTGCCTAACGTCTCAAAATGATGTATAAACCCTATCTTATTACTAAGAGATGCTCCAAATTAACAGGTATTCATCCTAATGAGAATGACTCCCAAATTCTGGAATAAAGTATTCTATAAAATTTTACAAGCTATACATGTCTCAGGGGAGAAGGCGAAGATTAGCAGATGTTACTCTGCTCAAGTATGTTCTCGTCATTCTCAAAAATGTAAAAAGAATATAACTTAAAGAAGTTGTTACTAAAAAGAAACCCATCGAAATATTAAAAAGAAGACGTTAAGCTGGCTTACTCAATCTCCAATTTTCCTTTACTTACCAGAAATGGGACTGTGATTATTCCTAATCATATTGTAGCGGTAGGTAATCCCTCTGAATTATTGACCGAAGCATTCATCACTGAACATCGGATGCTGACCCTCACTGTTTAAGTCAACTTGTTTAGCTGAAGGCTTCCGGTCAAGCATCCATGCCATTTGGTACTCCATCGTGTCACGTTCGTGCACGATCCCTCGCCAGTTAAGCAATCATCTCGCACTCCGATTCGATCACGCAATATATCTCGTAATTTGGAAGATCAATTCTTTTGTTTTGCTTTGCCTTTGGTCTACGCGTAACGAATGCTATAGAAGTTGTTGGTATTAGATCTTGCCTAAGTATAGTGCCTACTATCCGTGCACGTCAATACCGTCAGCCTCTAAAGACCGTCTCCCCTTTTCCTGCAATAAAGTCTCTAGTTTCGCGCTTATATTAAATAAACTAAGAAGTCGTATGTCTCCTTGAACGACACAGTAGCTTGGCTGTAGGTGAAATCCTGACGCTCTTATCTTGACTAAGTTTCACGGATGCGTATCAATAGCAGCGCTTCTCCCAAAAATTATCTCTAGACGAAATGCTTTCAAACCTAGGAATCTAGACGGCTTATTGTTAAAGATTTCACCCAATGAGTAGCGGAATAATGGGAGTCTAGAATACTTCTTATCAGTCACGATGATTCATAGTCGCCATCCAATCTCTATTTTTATGTATATGGCACCAATGACCCATCTATTTTTGAATTGCTGAGCACTTGTGCTAAAATTGTAACTTAATCCATATACAAATGAAAACTTAGCAGTCCTTCTGCTTATCCGCATAAACACCCTCTTGTACATGTATTCGGATTGACGCGTCAGTCCAGCGTAAGGATAGGCAAATGATTGAATTTTCTTTTTAGAACAAGCAAAACTACTTCATCAAATGAAACCTGTTGTAATAATTGTATCAAGACGCGTGTCAATAGGAAAATTAGCTGTAGGTAGAAGACAACTCTCTGGAAATCAGAATACTGTTTTACGTATATCGTAACAACCCAGTTTCAACTGAAGAAGTATTAGAATACAGTCGGTAAGTGGCAGATTTACTGATCACCCAAGTATAGGCCAACGTGGCAGTTAACTGCACACTGGCTTGCACATGTGATTCTCAGTCGTCTACTATTAATATACTAAAAACGTCTACAAATAACGTCAGTACTTCTGATCGCATTCCTCCAGTCTTCTGTCAACGAGTAGATGTCTAAGCCACGATGGGGATTGTTGCCTGCAATCAACAAGAAACTGGTTCAGATAAGTAAGTTAGTGGAATGCCCAATCGATGTTTACCAACAGTGACATATACACTGTGGTGGATGTGTTGACTCCCTTATCGCAAAAGGCTTGGAAAGAAGGAAAGTTGCTTACCGATCGGAAGAAGGGATGGACACCTTGTCAAACTACCGAAGATTAGCGACTTGCGCCTCACTCTGCAAGAACTGGCGTGGAAAATGCTGTTGTCCTTGCCAAGTAAAATGCTAGGTCGCCTCATCCTGGAGAGAATAAAAGATGAACTGGATACAGAACTACGCCCGCCGGAACAAGCTGGGTTCAGCAACGGCAAGTCATGTGCAGGCCAAATTTCGACTCCACGCATCCTCATCATCGGATGGAGTATGGAATGTTAGTCAAACCTCTACTTCAACTTCATCGACTTCGAAAAGGCCTTCACCAGACAGCGTTGACCGAGAAGTAATTTGGAAACTGCTTCAACACTACGGCGTGCAATGCCTAAGTCTTTATCAACCTTATTCAACAGTTGGTTGTATGACAGTGCCACGTGTCAGGTGATCCACAACGGAAAACTCAGTGAGGCGTTTGAAGTGATTGCAGGAGTAAGACAAGACTGGCTGCCAATTGTCACCGATGATATTCTTAATTGTGGTGGACTGGACTGTGTGTCAAACTGTGCATGTGGAGTGAGGAGACTGGAATGCATTGGACTTACCGTTAAGGAGACTCTAGAAGATATGGATTTCGCGCGTGGAAGATTTATTTCTAATGTCACACAAACTGGAAGACTTAGAGGCAGGCGAAAAACAACAAATTGGTAGAAGAGGCAGGTAGCGAAGACAGGACTTCAAATGAGCATGGAGAAGACGGAGGTGATGAAGATAGCCAACCAACAAAAACGATAACCTGCACTGGACATTATCAACGGAGGAAATTTAAAAGTGGTCACTTCCTTCACTTACCTACAAATCATCGTTTCAACTACGGGTGGAACAGATGAAAATGTCAAAGCCAGTCAGGATCGGAAAGGCACCCTGATACCAGCTTGGAAACGTTCTGCTTCACTCAGCCACCATAAATAACAAGATTCGGATTTTCAACACCAATGTCAAGTCGGTCAGTTCTTCTTCTATACTGGTCAGAAACTTGCACTGCATCTCACGAAAAGGATTTCCAACAGTTTGCAGACTTTCAACAACACCGTTCTTTGTTGGCCAGCCAAACAGAATTAGTAACAAGAAACTCTGGCGATGAACAAAAGCAACCAAGAAACGCTTGCCCAGCAAATATGTGGGAGAAAGTGGAGATGGATCGGGCATGCATTGAGGAGACCGTCGTGTGACATCGTGCTCAGTACAGGTCACTGTTCGAGTGGAATCTCGATTAGAGGAGAACAGTGGGTCGCTGGTGTTAGGGTGTTAGAGTAGACTATGTGAGGAAGAGATGAGAGATTATAGGCAGCCGTGGACCCAGCTGAAGTGGACAGCTGAAAATAGAGGAATGTGTGGATTTGTTGTTTAAGCCGCATTTTATTCTTGAAATCGCGCGAGTTTCTGGTGTTGATTGTATTGCTTTTGATTGAAAACTTCCCGAAATTTCGTGACTGGATATCTCAAGTTAATTTGTAAATTGCAGATTTGATTTATCTGATCACCAATATCCCGAAACAACTGGTGGGAATCCTCCTGGTTTTCAGTGATTCGGCCCTCTCTGCTGAACCTCAATGAGTAGATGTCTAATTTTATCTCCTGGAAACGATGGAAAAGTACGTCCATTGTTCGGATCACTTCGGTGTGATTTTTGATGTGAGAGGTGTCCGCTTGCCCATGCCAACGAATCAGCTATATACATTTTATGCATAAACAGTCCAAAAACGGAGAGAGTTAGTGTGTGACTTTCTTGCAGCTTCATTCACCATGTGATGGTCCTCCTAGCGACGTTTAATAAATTTTTGTTTATCTAACATCTTTTGACAAAACATGAAAATAAACAGTGGAATGGATTGTTTTTACCTTTGGTTTTGTGTTGAATATAGCACTTCTGTCATTAAGTTTCAGAGCGGTGGTGTCTTCAACTGGTTTGCATTTCTAGACTTACACCCAGCTATTTGTCGTTGACTGGCTCACTAACGAATATATAAAGTTTCGGGAGTGCATTAAAAGCATTACAGAAGCATCATACCTTCTACGTAAAGGAGATGGAATGCTTTCTGAAAGAAAAGATTTGTAAGTCCCACTAAAGTAGAAGTTTAATTTCAACCCCGCGTGTATTACAAGCTGGTCGTCAGTTCCAAAAAGGAGGGAATGTTGGGTCTGCATTTAATAATTTAAGCCCGAAAAATCAACCCAGTCACTGCATAAACTTCAGTGCATAGAAAAAACATTAAGAAAGCCTATTATCACCTTAAATCTGAAAGACGGAATGACATTTACTGTTGGAAGCCTTCGGCAAGTCAGTCAGCTAATAAGTATGCTTTCGATTAAGGCAAAATTATTCGAGGGGATGAGGAATAACCGCACAGTGTTCGAAGCTGGGAAGGCTGCTGGTACTGCATTCGTAATGAAGAGACACAGAACAGTGGCGCTAAGAATGAGTGAGGGCAGATGGAATCCTAGTCGTTCCTCAAAATTTTTAGCTGGAGTGTCTTCGTCTCTCTAGTCACCCAGACGACAGCAGCGAGCACAATAAGGGAGTGGATGTCATAGTGTCACCGGCAGTATTGCAGGAGGCAGTGTAGTGGGAATTTGTCTCACCCGGTGTCGTTACAACCAGATTAAACTCAAAATGTTAAGCAGCCTTCTGTCGTCCAGCGGTGAGCTTCTATGAACAACGTGAAACAAGGGAGGAAGGAAGAATTTTCCAAACAACCGCGAACAGCAATGGACAGTACCTGAAATTATGACGTACCATTCTGATAGATGATATGAATGCCAAAATGGTAGCATGCAACGCAAGAAGTGAGGCCCTCACAAAATAAACAGGAACAAAGAGCTATTGTATACTTTTGTGCATACAGTGGCTTGTTGGCTAGAGGCGACGTGTGCAATGATATGGTCAAGGAGCCATGAGTTCCGACAGACAGACACACTAAAAATCAGATGGACATGGAGATTGGCATGGAGAATAAGTAGTGAAATCAAAAGTGTTTGTGTTTTACTGAACTTCTCACATAGATCTGATGCTCATCGTGTGGACATTCAACAATTGCTGAACGTTCCAATCAAGCCTTAGTATTAACTCTTGATTCCAAGAATTTTTTTCATTTTTGTGGGCTTCAGAAACAGAAAATTTTCCCCCTGAAACACTGAAAAGCGACTAGAGACCACTTACAATATACTGTCGCCATAATTGCAAATGGCTTAAGCAGAGAGGTTCTCTGTCACTGGAAGAAAATCAAACTTCTCACGCTACCAAGAAAGGGTGACTCACATCTTTATAAGGACTGGCGAGGAAGTATGCTGCTGTCACCACCAAGCAAAATATAAAAGCTCGTCCTACTGGAGAGATTGAGAGGGTCACTGAATGCCTCACTGCTCCGGGACAAGGTGCATACAGAAAAGGAGAATCATTTGCAGACAAATCTGCAAATGCACACATAATCACTGGACAGAGTGTAGAATGACTGCAAACTGTCCATCTCATCTTTAGCGATTTTCAAAAGGGCATCGACCGCTTTTACCGTGAAGTGATTTTGAAAATGCGGAGAGACTGAAAGCTCTGTCAATCTTGTTTAACACGAACGATGGTGTCAGATTTGAAGTGATTCATGACGAAAAACTCAACGGTCACTGTGAAGTTAAGGAAAATAGTGGGGTATACCGAATTTGAGTAATTTGACTGCTCCTGTGAAGCCAGTTACACAGGCCGTACAATTAGGCGTGTTTCTCATAAAATTAACGAACGTTATTCTGCGTAGTTAAGTAAAGGACAAACAAGATCGATTCATAGCGCTATTCTATCTCATTTTGTGGATACAGAACACAAGACTGGTGTTAACCAGGCTCTCTAAGTCATTCACAGCATACCAAAATATCTAAATTTCGCATTTAGATTTCCGTAACTTAATATTTCTGAGGCTGTTCGGATCGACAATAAAAAGCCTAATTTGGGCATCAAAAAGAAGCAAGTTCAGACATTATGCTTACCTTGAACATCAAGGTCTGAATGATCCTCAGATGTGTGGAATTCTCCTAAGTTTAATCGATATTCTATATGTCACTTCATTATTATTATTATTATAATTTAAGCATCTTCAATGAACTGCAATTCCATTGATCTTACTCTACAAATCGATATTATTTAAAAAACACTAATATTATTATTGACTACTAATCTAGAATATGCTATGTATATATATATATATATAATTGTAGAGCCAGAAGAGGAAGTTATCGAAAAGGATATTCTTTGCTCAATCATTTTGTTTTTTATAAATAATACTTATCCATGGCTGTATAATTAGTGTCTTCCTACAAAGACAGGGATAAATATGTTAATGTTATGGAGCTGATCACCATTACCGGTGGAGTTCGGGATTGTAGTCGACCAGTTCACGAAGCAGACCAGATTCTGGGGCAAATTAATCCCCCTGTATATTAAAATATGTCGTAAACTTAGGAAATTACCATTTTGTAAAAATGTCAAGAGCGTTCGCCTTTCATCAAAGGTGCTCTGGCAACCTTCAGGTCTGTCCATGACGTGTTGTTCATTAGATCCCATCACAGGAATCAATTACGTTCTTAATACTGGTTACTTCTTCAAGCAGTGGTTGGCATCCTATCATCAAATTGTCATTAAGAACGACTAGATTGGTGCTCGTGCAGCTACCCTCTAAATAAGCAGAAATTGTGGGGTGGTTACCATCACAATCTCAGCGTCATTATTTGTCTAAAGCACAGAACTCATCCATTTGTTTCCTGACTGTAGGATTGGTAGGATTTAGACTTATTTACGTTCTTTTTGTCACTGACCGGGAAAGCTGAGTAGTGGTGTGCTGTATAGCGACTGGTTAGTGGGGAGAGATTCACTACATAACTTCTTAAGAACATCACGTAAGTAACTTCTAGGCACACTACAATGATGAGTGTTCGTTGTAGTCGTACGTGTATGCGTTGTCGTGACAGTGGATTACTTCGTCAATAAAGCTTTGGAATGTTTGCGCTGCTTTGGAAGACCTAATGAAATGCTCTGTAATCCTGGAATTTTTAAATGGTGTAAGAAGATCTGTCTTTGGGCACCATCATCATTAGATTTCATGTTTTAACCAACTCAATTTCCACAAAAAAATAGCACGCGACGGCACAACTGTCAAGTTATGGCTTTTCGGTAGTCGAGAGCAATCTGTAATGGTTGCGACATTCAGTATATGGCAATGATGGTTGGATCGTCAAAAGTTTCTGTGTCTCTTTGAGATGCTCGAGGCTGATGGGATGATCGAATAGTGCCAAGTTTCAGCATATGAGGGCATTCGCTTCTGGTTAGTTCTAGCTTGTCAGAAGCTAGCTGCCGTGCTTAGGGCTCCTGGGATGTATAGCCTGCTTCATTTTTCGCCTTTTTCATGGTGGATGGCCCACAGTCTCAAATACCTCAGTTCAGCATTCCCTAGCAAGGCATGTCAAGCTTATTCTCAGTAATCAACCTTAACCTTTATTTCTCATGAACAAACAACGCTAAATTATCGACCCACCCGATTTTGTTTGTGCCATCAGCAATTGTAGGTTAAGCTACTGATTATTCACCTTATTGTGACCGTGCTGTAAATGCTGCGATGCTGTCACCAGGGATTGTTTTTATCATCTTGTGATGTACGATGAATGCAACCAATAAGATGGTCCAATAGAGGCGAATTATATTGGTATTAATATTGAATTGATGGGCTGCTATTGCTAGAGGTTTGCTCAAAAGATTTGTATAGCATCAATTATGTACTTTAAAGACAGGCTTTTCGTGAATAGGCAACTGATATGAGAAATAAGCAGTTGTGACAATTTAGCAATGTTATCAGAATATTTCTCCCGGCCACTTGTGATGATTACCTAAAACGTAGTAACGATTATACTCTCAAATCCAGCAAAATTTAGTCGTATGGTATCGCTCCACTTTAGTCTCGCCTGAGTCACAATGATTATGTCTGTTGGTGTCAGACTCTGTACTTTATTATCTGGCGAAAAGGATTTTAGGTTAAAGAACAATCTAAGTAAATGGATATATATTTCTCTCTAGAAGTAAAAGAGTAGGGATGAAATTTGTTTTATGGGATGTAACACAGTGTGTTACTGTTTTGCCTTTTCGTGCCTAAATGCAGTTACCATCGTTTTATGTTGGGGTAAAATCAAAATGTGGCAGTGACTAAGGGAAAAGAGACAGATGGATTTCATAACCAGATATCGACAGATTAGAGAAATGACTCGTGACTGATAACTCAAAAAAATTGGCAATGTTTACAATAACAGAAGCTTCTGTGCTGTTGACTGAAGCACAGTGATTTGTGATTCCTTACTCAAGTCCTTTTGTAATAGGATCATTGTCAGAATTACAAATGGCACGATCACAGTTAATTTTTTTACCTCTAATTTTAACTGAGTCACTTTCAAAAAGAATTTGGAATTGTTAGTAAGAATGCAGCCTTCTGCATTACCTTCTGAGTAAACCCGCTATGTAGGTGGACCTCATAACCCGTATCACAAAACTGAGTTCTGGGTAGTGAAGTCAATGAAACAGTCGTCATCACGGTGAACGATTTATTGGTATATAAATTCATTAACTCTATAGTAATTATTGCATTTCAGTTGAAGGTTTATATCCAAATTTTTGTCTCTGAAAAGCATTGTGAATTTCACTTGTATTCACTTGAATTTAGGCGTACTTTTAATCCTCTGCGCTATATATCAAAAAGGGTGCAGGTTGTGGTATTGTTTCTAGTCTTGCAATGTCCATTAAGTATTTCACAAATCATAAGGTTTTTAAGTCTTCTACTGGCAAAGTAAAACTATCGCAGCCAAAATCACAGTGACTTTGGATAACCAAACAGAATTCAGATGCAAACAAATTCTAATCTTAAAATCCACCGCACTACCTAACAGTATAGATTTGCAGAACAAGTACCCAGTAAATAAGTAGAATACTGTATCTTCCAGGCATGATTTGATTTAGGATGATGCTTCATAGCATTTCCCACACCTAATCGCTACCTGAAGGTCATTTTTAAGGACTTTGACTTCGTCTGTGATGCTCTAACTTCACCCTTCTACTTTTTGTTATCATATTAGTATATGGGTCTTCAGATTGTGTGAAGGTTCAAATACCCCTATATGACCGTATGGCTCCAGCCAAAATAGTCATGCAGTGCACTGTTGGTTGACAACGGGCTCCTAAAGTGGCTTGTCTGTTTTCTGATTTAGCGAACATGTCAAAGTGAATGTCGCTAGGAATTTAGGAAACTTACCTATGTTTCTGATGCACACCAATTTCTAAGTCAAACAAGTACAATATTGCTTCGACCGTCTGCAGAAATCTAACCTGCTATGTGACAGGCAGTCCAAATACATGAAACTGGTATCATTTTTAAGAAGGAGTTGACTTCGACATCTTGTCTTATTTTAAATTCGGACGGCGTGTGATGCATAAAATGATGTTGGCAGAGTACGTAGAAATCAGTTGTTTCCTTTTGTAACTATTTCAAGTATCATAGCTACCTGAAGGAATGTGTTGACTGAAATGAAAACTGCAAATATGTTTTACGGAGTGTGAGAATTTCTAGTTTATCTAATGTGCTTCAATTTGTAGTTGATTTAAAAGAATAAGAATGTGCACTTGACTAAGTGTCGCACTTACTCTTTATTAGGGAGCGGCTGTAATTTGGTGAAGGAGATTGTGAAGTGTGTCTGAAATGCTGTCCACATGAGTCATTCGATAACCATATGGCGCAATCACTTTTCAATGCTACATAATGATATTATTTTCCCAGCAAGAGTGATTTGCATATCACTGATGTTGTTTATGACTTCTTTATTTATTTGAATTTAAATAACATTTCACCGAGGTTAGCATGAATAGGTTTGCCTTACACCGTGGTAAGCGCTATAACATTAGTGGTATTTATGCCATTCTCTGTAAAATGACGACGTAATTTGTGAATTGAGTCCTCCTACATTTTAGGGTTTATCAATTGGATATTTAGTGATCTCTGAATGTTGTTGAATTTTTCTTCTCATATGGATGCTGAGTATAATTTTTGAGTTATTTCACAGGTTCATTGTTGGAGGGTGCAAAGTATATCTGTAGTAAATTCTGGTTGAATTATATCTACAAATGAAACGCGATCTTGCCGGAGTGCTGGTGTTTGGGACAGGAACTTTAAATGGTTCCTAAGGTCGAATCAAGTGCATTACTTTGACTAGGAATCTACAGCTAGTAGTTACGTTATAAAGGATTTCTTGAGCTCTAGCAGTGTTTCATTTGGGCAAAATGTGACTGCATACAAAAATTTCTTGGGTCATCTGGTTATGAGTTTCAGTCACAGTCGAGATTTTATATATATATATATATATGTATATATATATATATATATAACTTGTACATCTTAACTGTTACTATCTACAGAGTATATGTGTCTAATAGAACAATACAAGAAATTGTTGGTTAAGTAAATCTGGAGTTAGCATTGTAAGGAGCATGGTGATATGGTCCTATATACTTATGAAGGCTCAAACACAATTAGAGTATGTTATCATAGTCTAACCATCGCTTTTTTTGACGTTCAACGTTAACTGGAATAGGGTTAGGTTGCGAATGAGTTGGGGGCGGTTGGATCAAAAATATGGCACCAGTCCATGAAATCTTCTATAGTTACCTGGAGGAGTTCTCGGGTTCTAAGAATCAATAGTTGGAGATATTGAGTGCGGTGGCTCAAGATCGTTTTCAGTGACACAAATGCCTTTGTTATTTGTAATATTTCGCGTTCATTAAGTCCACATTATTTCTCATTCGATTATCCTTCTTCCCATACGTTTCCGTCTTTTAGTTTCACTGGATTTCCTACCTGTCCATTTATGTATTCTTATATATTCCTACGTAAAGTGTGGCAAATTGAACTGATGCAGTTTTGTGCAAAGTTCGATGATAACAATTCAGTTATCGCACAAATTTATATATAACAATGAATAAACCATGTGATAAAAAGTAAATATTCCAACATATGTGGCAGATTAGTACGATGTTAGGCTACTACTAATAATAATTGGGCAAAGAATAGCCTTTTCGATAACTTCCTCTTCTGGCTCTACAATTATATATATATATATATATATATATATATACATAGCATATTCTAGATTAGTAGTCAATAATAATATTAGTGTTTTTTAAATAATATCGATTTGTAGAGTAAGATCAATGGAATTACAGTTCATTGAAGATGCTTAAATTATAATAATAATAATAATAATAAAGATATAGTAGCATATAGAATATCAGTTAAAATTAGGAAAGTTCCACAAAATTGAGGATCATTCAAACCTAGATGGCCAAGGTTAGCATAATATCTGAACCAACATCTTTTGGCCACGTAGGTTTGAATGATCCTCAATTTTGCGGGATTTTCCTAATTTTAATTGATATTCTATATGCTACTATATCTTTATTATTATTATTATTATTATTATTATTATAATTTAAGCATCTTCAATGAACTGTAATTCCATTGATCTTACTCTACAAATCGATATTATTTAAAAAACACTAATATTATTATTGACTACTAATCTAGAATATGCTATGTATATATATATATATAATTGTAGAGCCAGAAGAGGAAGTTATCGAAAAGGATATTCTTTGCTCAATTATTTTGTGAGTCGGTAGCACAGTGGTTAGGACTCTTGCCGACCATGCACATGGTCCGGTGTTCGATCCCCTGCCGACGCACACCCGATACCTGTGGTCGGCCTGCAAAATTTGGGCTACCGATGTCCATGCTGAAAATTCCATACTTGTACTGAAAATACGGTGTGGCATCAAGCTGTAATCAAAAATTAATTTAATTAAATTATAGATGTCTAAATGAATATTTTCGCTATACTAATATTAAGCTTTAATCCTTTCTTGATTTGTGTAGGTCTATTACTCAATGATCTCGGCTGCTGTTGACAACAACATCCAGACGTGTTCAAACGAATCTAGTTACCAACATTTTTTGGATTGTTTGGTCTTACCAGGGATGACTTTTGAATTAACAGGACCTGATAAGATTATTACTTGGTCTATTGGTCCAGGTCTTGTTTACGTACCAGCATCTAGAACGAAAAGTGCTATGGGCAAGCATAAACTGGCGGACTCAGTTTTAGTGAAACAGGTGCGTTCAATTCTTTCAATGACATTTATTGTTTGTCAGTAGGCACATACATGATAATGCATTTACCTATGAGTTACACTTGTGGTGCGTTGTTGTCTACAGCATAAATCTGAAGATGCTTATTATGCATTAGGTAGGTCGGTGTACTGCGAATCAGAATCGTAGCTTTCGAGATAAGTGGTATGGGAGCCTCAACGGGATCACGAATTACCGATGCTCCCCGAAGCAGAAGACGCCTTACGTAGCCTGGGTATGTAGAATGTATTGCCCAGTCATTTAACTGTTCTCAGTGTGTAGCAGGAACAGAATGGACAGGAAAATGTGCGTCGGTGGCACAGTGGTTAGGACTCTTGCCGACCATGCACATGGTCCGGGGTTCGATCCCCTGCCGACGCACACCCGATATCTATGGTCGGCCTGCAAAATTTGGGCTACCGATATCCATGCTGAAAATGCCATACTTGTACTGAAAATACGGTGTGGCATCAAGCTGTAATCAAAATAATGAAATAATGATCTTGGTTGCGTAGTGGGCTTCTTCATTAAAGGTCTTGGCTTCACATATTTGCAACCAGGAGTTCAAATAGAGAAAAATGGTTCATTTTGACTATTTTCATTATCAGGAACGTCGTTAAAACTTGAGGGGGGGGTTTAAAGATTGCAGAAGCTTATGCGGTGCTTTCTGTTGTGTTTTGCAGAGTTTTTTGTCATCGCATTTTCCTTATTTTCCCCCAATTTTGCTTGCTTTCAGCCTCTAGGAGGACTGAACTCTATCCAGTAGCTTGCTTGGTAAACAGCAGCATCTATAGTCACACTTACCCATAATTTTTTGTTAGTTTTGACATGTAGACCAAAGATCTCCCTCAAGGAATCCATCTGTCCCCGAAGAATCTGCATGTCATCTTAGGCTTATCGCTTTTTACGTTTTTACGCGTCCGAATTTTCTCAATGTGCCTCCGTAATGCCACATATAGGTTGCTATAACAACCACCATCGTGGCGTTCTTGTTGAACAGTAATAGCTAATAGAAATAGTAATAATAACAAATAGTTGTCATGACTGGATGCGCTTACTGAGCCAATAATCGACACAGTGATAATGAGGTATGAATGGTCTTAACAAAGTCAACTTGCTCCCTTTATTGGTTACAGGACTCCATCATAAGCTGACTTCGGTTAGCGAACCATTGGAAAACCTGGGAGTACTGGACGGCTGTTTCGTCCTAGTTTGGAACTCTTCATCAGTTCGCACCCACTGAAGTTCGAACCCAGGATCTTCTGGGTTACAAAGCGAGCTCGTAGGCCATTAAACCACTGGGACTCGATCCAATGGCCCATGAATTCCAACTTCTGCCAATTCACGACATTGCACAACCACTAGCCAATCTCTTCGGTGAGTATTTGTCCTCACCTTCGACCTGCCGCACCCTACTGGTCTTTTTAGATTCATAACCTTTTGATCACAACCACATTCTAGATGGTCTGTCATGTATTCCGACTTTTTTGGACTAATACCCAGATCACTTATATCGAAACCACTCACCATTGTCATTGTCCATATCATTATCAACAATTGTCGTGATGTGTGATAGATCTTGTGGGTAACTAAAGACATCTGGATGGACCTTCTTGTTTTCGTCCTCATTTATTTTGTTATCAGGCATCCTTACACCTAAAATGGCATTAATTTGCAAGGTCTAAAAAATTACACAAGGTCTTTTTTTCTTCTTTCTCTGTCTCTCTGGGAATCTGTAACCAATGCATTTTAACCAATCTGAAGAAGTAGGTCGGAACCACACTCCAGGACAGGCAACATTAGAGGACGAAATGAGACTACTCATAGCTTAAACATTTGATTGTTCCGGACCCACTTCAATGTGGCACGGAGTGATTTGCGTAAGACCCAGTCTGGAGAGTAAAGAATCAAAAGACTCACTTTGTATGTTATTTCGCCAATTATAGCCATGAGTTTCTCTGTATGGTGAAACACTCACTTGTATTTTCATATATTTTGTTGTGATATATCTAGTTGATAGTAATCCAAGAAAATTATAACTAAACATGGTCACTAACTTTATATTTTTTCGAAAAAACAAAATATTTAGTTATGTAAATACTTTTTCCAGTATAAAATAATTAAATTTAATTGTAACTTGATTCCACACAGCATTTTGGTACAACTATGGAATTTTCAGCCCAAATTTAGCAGGCTAACCATTGATATCAGGTGTGTCGGCCGGGGATCGAACTCCCGGACCATGTGCATGATTAGCGAGCGTCCTAACCGCTGTTGATTCGTTTTGTTTGTAACCGGCTATAAAGTAAAGGCCACCAACAAATCCTTTGGTCAGAACTTCGCAACTGACTATCTTTGGAAGTTAGGATGCATTTAGCCTGAGCAGATTTTTCATGTAATAGACTATGAACCATGCTTACTTTGTGAGTGTTTAATAGTAGCCTCTATTCACAGACTTAAGTAAGAGCGGAATTTAACCCTTAAACCCATTTGCGAGAATTTGTAAACTAAAGCCAATGAACCTTATCGCACACGCATTTTTTCAAATAGCCTCATCTTGTACATTTAGCAAAGTGCAGGTTTCATATATGAATATGTTTAAAGTGTTTTTATTATTTGTTACAGTTTGGTGTTTTGAAATTCAAAAGGAAAACAGTGAAAAATTCGGAGCCACTGACCTCAGTCAAGCGTTTTAAATCCAGTGACTCATCGGGCGATACGGAAGAAAATTATATTTGGATAGAGAGCCCACCATGCTTTCGTTCAGTAACCACATTACTTCCGCTTAGTCGACTTTCATATCGTTGTCATGTTGGTCAGTTCCAAAAAGAGGACAAGGTTATTGGTATTGTAACAAGAAGAGCTGGTAGAAATTTTGTGATTGACATTGGTTGCGCCACTCCTGCTACGATCAAATACCAATCGTTTGAAGGTTCTTCTAAAAAGAACCGTCCTGATATTCATGCAGGTGATGTCATTTTTGCCATGATTAAGCGGGCTGATAGAGGTGAGTGTTTTTTAATGTATTGTAGTCTTTTCTCATAATTCAGTGGTAACGAATAATAAATTTAAATTTCTCCTTACTTCTCATGTTGTCTTGTACAATCAGTAGAATTTCCTATATAATTTTGTGTGAAACTGAAAACTTTTCTGGTGGCTACAGTGGATATATTTTCAGTCTCAAAGTTCTACTTTCTGTTACTCTGTAATGTAATAACTTGCTATAGGAATGCTTTATAATTGTACTGAGTTTTTCCCCTCGGCAATGAACTGTTTCCATTTTAGTTTTCATTATTTTGATTTTTAGTGTTTAAATAAAAAACAATTTGGAAGATAGTGAGATATTTATCGGTGGTGGTTTTAGATTGAAACTCGGGACCTGTAAGGTGAAAGTTCAAACCAATGAGAAACACCTGAATCCAACATATCTCTGTTGCGCCATCCAGCGCCTATTTTCGTTCTATGCATATTTAACAGTCTGATTTCCAAAGTAAATAGTACTTCACAGCTATAATATGCACCCTTGTTTTCATAATGGATGTAATTTACATGACCTGTCACTTCACTAACTTGTAACTACTTGAAATTATTCTCTTGTCGGATGAATGGGAATTTTTTGACTTTAATCAGAAGGTCACGCAATATGCTCGCTTTAAGTGCGACTCAACTTAATTAGAAATAAATCATTTTCATTAGTGTCTCTTTGACATCTGGTCAGACAATTGTTAAGAACACAGTGGAGAATTGGTGCACAATTGCGCATTAGTAAAATTGTGTACATTTGTAATAAAATATGAAGAAAACAGGACGTTGTAAATTGATTTTGTGCAAGTTATTCATATTCTGTTTTCCGCTATGTTACTCTTCAACTTCTACCTTTTCATTCCATGCTGTCTACATTGACGATCAATTTCCTTTATTTCTCGAGTAGGAAATCTCGTGAATCTTTATCTGTTTTTACTTTTACTGAGGTTATTATCCTGCATGTTAATTATGCGTCCTTACATGTATCACACCATACTGGTCACCTCAAGCGAAAATTCATACCTACAATCGTGTCAACCTTATTGGTGTCTTATGTTTCTGTTGTATCTTCGAATGAGCTTCTTCTTATCACTGTATTCTAGTTTAAAGTCGTATGATATTAGTATGTATGTTTTTGTTTCATTTTCACGTGGTATGAAAGTGGCTGCGTATATGTATGTGTTCATTCTAACTTTGGAAGTTACTTCATGGACCTGTTATGGTGTACTCTACTATCGCCCAATTGAAGTGGTTTCCATTTCTTTAACTTCCTGCTGTTCCCATTTCGTGGAGTCAGCTCTCTATTTACACCCTACTTTTTTGGCAGCTTGTCCTGCACCCTGTAAGTCCTGTCAAGTTGTATTGTGTTAGTAGTCTTCATTTCCTGCCAATGGTCAATTGGTGGATGACTTCGTTGTTGTTTCTTGGACAAAGGCACGATGTTACAATAGTACTAATACCATTTAACATTTCCTGTGTCAACATGTTTTGTTTCAAAATCTCCGCTTCTACTAGTTTTCTGTTTATTCTTTCCCAACAGTCCATTGACCAGTTTCCATTTTTCTCTGAGACAAATCTTTCCATGATAATTCAGATAAAATAAGTGACGCATCGGTATGAAGAACAAGTAGTCCTTGTAACGTTTGTCTAACATTTTCGATATGTGACTTTGTAAGACGAACAAAATTAGAGATATTTGGTTGTAATTTAATGTATTTGAAAGTTTTATAAAATTGCCTCGGGAAGGAATGATTTTTAATACATAATTCAAATCTTTTCTCTCTGCTAATGCCCACTCAGGGGGGGGGGGCAAACAAACCTGCTACAGAAACTTCAGCGTGAACAATCTCCTTGCGTCAAAAGAAAAAGTCTGTGTGGGGACATGGAATGTCCGCACCATGTACGAGACTAGCAAAGCTGCCCAGATCGCAAGCGAAATGAGAAGATACGGACTACAAGTATTGGGGATCTGCGAAAGCAGATGGAACGGAAACGGACTCACCAAATTGTCAACAGGTGAGTCAGTGATTTACTCCGGTCACCCAGAAGACAACCACACACACACCGAGGGCGTGGCTATAATGATGTCACCAACGGCAACCAAGGCTCTGATACAGTGGGAGGCGATCTCACCCAGAATAATGAGCGCCAGATTCAACTCCAAAGGAAGAAAAGTGTCAATTATACAATGCTATGCACCCACAAACAACGCAGACCTCGAAAAGAAAGAAGAATTCTACAGACAACTACAGGCAGCAATAGACAATACTCCAGCCGGTGACATTAAAATACTAATGGGAGACATGAACGCCAAACTTGGACCAGACAACACAGGAAGGGAACTCATCATGGGTAAAGAAGCTCTGGGAGAGATGAATGAAAATGGAGAACTCTTCGCCGACTTCTGCGCCTTCAATGAACTAGTGATTGGTGGCAGCGTATACAAACACAAGGATATCCACAAGGCTACATGGGTGTCACCAGATGGGCGAACCAAAAACCAAATTGACTTCATCACAATCTCGAGGAAGTGGCGGCGCAGCCTACTGGACACAAAAGCAAGAAGAGGAGCAGACGTTGGCTCAGACCACTACCTCGTACAAGGAACAATCCAACTCAAATTAAAAGCTTTCAGAGAATCAGGAGCTGCAGATAGACCACAAGCCAAGTTCAACACTCAAAAACTAAAGGACCAGGATACAAAGGATATCTTTACTGCAAGTATAAAGGACAAAGCTGAGAAACAAATCAACATTAGCGAAGAGGTCAGCGTCGAAAAACACTGGGACAACCTGAAAACAGTATGGAGCGAAACCTGCATGGAAGTTCTGGGCAGAAAGAAGAGACAGGACAAACCGTGGCTCACTACGGACACTTGGAGGCTAATAGAAGAGAGAAGGATGGTGAAACAAAAGATTATCCAGTGCACCGACGAGCAACAGAAACAGGAGTTGAATGCAAGCTACAATACACTGAACAAAGGAGTAAAGAAGAGTGCCAGAGAAGACAAAAGAAAGTATTATGAAGCCATGGCCAATGAAGCAGAACAAGCAGCAGGCAAAAGAGACCTCGCAACACTCTACCAAACAACTAGATACCTCTCAGGCAAAAATTCGTCACAAATTAAGCCAGTGAAGGATGAAAATGGAAAGTCAATCACCAAAGAAGTGGAGCAAAGGAAACACTGGGCTGAACACTTCAAAAGACTACTAAACCGACCGCCACCTACAACGCGCCCAACAATACCAACAACGGAAGCAGAATTACCAGTGAACATCAACCCCCCGACAAAAACAGAAGTCCTGAAGACAATCAAGATGCTGAAAGCTGGAAAAGCAGCAGGACCAGATGGAATCCCAGCAGAAGTATTGAAAGTGGACCCAGAGACAACAGCAGACTTGATGACGCCACTACTGGAGAAGGTGTGGAAAGAAGGCAAAGTACCCGAGGATTGGAAGAAAGGATACTTACTCAAACTACCAAAGAAAGTAGACCTAAGTCAATGCAAGAACTGGCGAGGAATTATGCTCCTGTCCATCCCAAGCAAAATACTAAGCTGCATCAACCTGAAGAGAATCAAACATGCCCTGGACGAAAATCTTCTACCGGAACAGGCTGGATTCAGGAGAAACAAGTCATGTATTGATCAAATCGCCACACTACGGATCATCATTGAACAAAGTTTGGAATGGCAGTCACCTCTCTATCTCAACTTCATCGACTTTGAAATGGCCTTCAGCGGACAGCGTCGATCGAGAGGTGATTTGGCAACTACTTCGCTACTACGGGGTGCCACCGACAATTATACATCTCATCCAACAGTTGTATGACAACGCTGCATGCCAAGTAATCCACAACGGGAAGCTCACGGAATCCTTCGAAGTGAGGACAGGAGTAAGACAGGGTTGCCTACTATCGCCAATGATTTTCCTGATTGCAGTAGATTGGATAATGCGACAAACAGCGGAGAATGAGGAAACAGGCATAAAATGGACTCACACAAAGAACTTGGAGGATCTGTACTTCGCCGATGATATATGCCTGATTTCCCACAAACTGGAAGATATGCAAGTGAAAAGTAACAAGTTGGCAGAAGAAGCATCAAAGATAGGACTCCAGGTGAACATAGAGAAAACAGAGGTGATGAAGATCCCTGGCCAACACCAACAACAACAACAGCAGACAGCAATCAGCATAAATGGAAAGAACCTGAAAGAAACTACCTCCTTTACCTACTTGGGAAGCATTGTTTCAACTACAGGCGGAACTGACGAGGATATCAAAGCAAGGATCGGGAAAGCAAGGCAAGCTTTCATTACTCTCAAGTCTGTGTGGAGGTCAACAGCATTCAGCGTCAAAAATAAGATCGGGATTTTCAACTCCAATGGGAAGTCAGTACTACTATACGGATCAGAGACATGGCGTGTCACGAAAAGCACCTCAAACAAACTACAGACCTTCATTAACAGATGTCTTCGCTCAATACTCAAGATCAGATGGCCGGAAAGGATCAGCAACAAAGATCTCTGGGAGCGAACCAACCAGGAACCGATTGTGAAACAAATAGGCAGGAAGAAATGGAGATGGATTGGCCATAGTCTGAGGAAACCAGCAAGTGACATCACTAGACAAGCCCTCGAGTGGAACCCGAAAGGGAAGCGACGAGTTGGTCGTCCAAGGGTGACCTGGAGGAGATCATGTGAAGAGGAGATGAAAGCATGTGGGCAGACCTGGAGCCAGGTGAAAACTCTAGCAGAGAACCGAACGCAATGGAGACGCATGGCTGAAGCCCTATGTTCCTCTAGGAACTAAAGGAAATAATAATAATAATGCCCACTCAGAGAGCATCTATCATCATCTTCTTCGTAACTGTTTCTTATCATCCAACTCAGTGGCTCAAACTCTCGACAGCCTCTCTACCGTCACCATATTCACTGCAGACCATTGAAAACCCACCAACTCTTCAACACTATCAATGCCCAACATCATATTGCAGATGTCTGCCTCCTGGTTGTCGATGGAAGACATTTACTAGATTAATCAAATACACCAAAATAAATGCGTGCTTATTCTAGTTTCTAAATAATCCTAAGCGTTCGAATAACTTGCCAAGATGTTCTCCAAGTAATAATTTTGATGCATTGTTTAGTGTAACTTTTTTGTCTTACGTAGTTCTGTGAATAAGTTTACGTTTCGTTTCAGACTCCAATAATGTATACTTAATATGCGGGAGTGCTAATAGAATCAGTATTTTACACCTAATAAAATTTATGAACTATACTGCAATACTTTTCTGTGCACTAAGTTAGAACATTTTACATGTATTCATGACTATTCATGATGCATAATTTACGTTGCTTTCACTTTACATTTAAATGCACAATTAATAAGGGTTTATTGTGACTTGACAACCATGTAGAAGCCTTTTTTAAATTTCTCTTATAACTTACGGTGGAAATTCTTTTGTGTAGATAAATCGAAATAGAGGTAAAGACGTGTTGGAGTTTTACCACATGTAACAGTCAGTTTTATATTTCTGTCTTCTAGATTTAGAAGTCGAGTTATCATGTGTAGATGAAGCGGGAAAAGCTTGTGGAATGGGCATCCTTGGTCGTTATGAACCCGGAACAGTTGGAAATGCTGGAGGTCGACCTGGAGGTATACTGTTACACTGTACTCAGGACTTAGTCAGACGACTAGGCGATCAAAAAGTATTTCCTTTGCTTCAACTTTTATCCAAGGTTAGAATTTCATTATTCTTTGCATTCTTTATCTTATTGCTTATTGTTAGTTTTCATATATGGGAAGCTTTTGACTCAAGAAAAAAAGACTTGTCATAATCAGTTTATTTTCCACTCCTTTATTTCCGTACTTAAAAGGAACGAAGCACGATATGGTGTTGCCTAGTCGATAGATTTTGTGATATGGTTATGAGTCTTTCAAGTGGGTATGCAGTGGAGGATAAGATCAGCGATGACAAAAGTAAAAAGTGGAGGCTATGAAGATTAAAGTTTGTAAAGTCGTACATTTTTAAAAAAGGAACGAAGTCGATTACGTCCAAGAAAAGTGTCTTCGTTTTGACAGATCCATTTCTATAGTTGTACATTTATATACCGATATATACTAACAGTCTGTTAACAAAAAATATCCAGAAGCAAATCGATATGAGTTAGGCATACGTTAAGGAGACCATTGAGTGATACCAGACGCCAGGTCTTCGAGTGGAACTCAATTGGGGATGTGACGAGTTGGACATCTGAAGGAGGAGATTATGTGATAAAGAAATGAAAGCCTGTGGTTTGTCATATAGCCAGCTAAAAAAGACATCAGAGAACAGATTAAAGTGGCGATGTGGTACTGTAATCCTATGTTCCACTCGGGATCCAAGGGATATAATAATAGAAATAGTTGAAAGGGTAAACACAATTTATGATAATTTTAAATTTGAGATATTGAAATATTCTTGTTGGTGATTAGAACTTAGACTAGATTAAAGTCAGGTAGTTAAGCGTCTCAAAGTACATTCATTTCCAAATGAAATTTAGATGATTATCCTTATAGTAATATTGAATATACAACAATGGTGACTGAAAATTAATCATTTGTTTGGCTGATGGAGACAGCTTTAAAGCCTATGAAAAGCGAAAGTTTTCTATTGAAGCGAGTTTTACCTAGCCGCTTTTTGATCTTATCTTCGTGAATACAGTGTTCTATGAATTATTCAATATGATGTCTAATTTCAGCATGACATAATAAACTATTCCAGTGACTTTTCTACAAACTCTTCCATATTATGATTCACGAGGCTTTGTGAAAATCGTTAGTGTGCTTAATGAAACAAGCGATATAGAATAATAGACTAGTGTTTATCTAGTAAAAATCCTCCGGACTGCCATTTGAATTCGTAAGTGCTGTTAGGAATGTTTACTGTCAAAGAGGCTATTTTTGAATTTCAGCTTACATATTTTTTCTTTCAACAATATCAACCGGTTTACACACAATCATGTTTTTGTTTTTCGTAATATTTTGAGCCAAATTATTTATAATTATGTGTAAATATAATTATAATTTATGTCATCTATTCCACAGTTCTCAAACTTTTTGTTGACACTAATATCAACCGGTTTCTGACAAGTTTACTTTAAAACACTCACCATCATCGATCTCTATTTGCATACCTTTTTGTTTGATTCACATGTAATGCTTTTCTACCATATGTTTAGGTCTTTCCATTTGAAGTGTTCATTGGTGTTAATGGCCGAATTTGGTTAACAGCGAATTCTCCCAGAGAAACTATGATCCTAGCCAACGCTATTGCAATTGCTGAGCACATATCAAACGATGAATGTTGTAGGTTAGCCAAAGAGCTTTATTGAGTGCTCCCATTATAAATATTGACATTCAAGAACTTTGTACATAATACTGATATTAGATATTTGCAATCTATATTTCGATTCTGAAATAAAATAACATGTGGACATACTTGTTCCCGATCACTCTTCCATTATTCATTCAAACTCTGATTAACTCAAGTCAAAAATCAAATACGATCATTATAAAAGTATTTTCCCTATACATAAGAAAATACATCACTTCATCAGGCCCTTCACGCCCACAGTGCAACACATTCATTGTTCTCAAGATGAACCTCAAAAGCGATATGAATTCATATGCTTCCAAAATTCCCATCACCCCACACAACACCCCACGAATAATACCCAATCATTTGGGCATCGAAACACAGCTACAGCCTAATGAGAGCCTGCCAGCAGTGGATTCCCCTAGCTTCATTCGAACAGGTAGACACAACAGGACTGACTATGAGTCGTCGAGTGATCATCATGAGTGGTTCAACTTGACTAACACGGAGTCCAATATCTTTCATAATCCTGTTCATATAATCATCTCCTCTTGGTCAGCAGTAACTTCAGACATGATGGGAGACATTGTCCCACCTGACGACCTACATCATAGAATCCACGACTGACACAATTAGGTGACACGGCTATAGGCTATCGATGTGGAGGGTTGGTAGAAGACTGCTGCTCCTTGTGGAACAACTGTGTAGACTCCGACCACGCCATAGTCTGTGAACGTGTATACTTACGACTGAAGGGGCATAGGAAACAGGTGGCTACACAACGTGTGCACGCCCAACTTCTTGATGAGAACACAAGCTCTTCATCTAGGAAATAGAAGAATGAATGTACCAATAACTGACTATCTGAATAAATAAATAAATAAAAAAATAAATAAACAGATATATAATTAAACGTCTGTCTGAGATTGACATGAATAGGCATCATGAGGAAGCCGGGTATAATAGCCAGTCAGTTGGGTGTCGAAAGAGTGGTAGAGGCTGTTGACAGCCTGTCAGCAGTGGATTCCCCTTGCTTCATTCGAACTGGTAGACACAAGAGGACTGATTGCGATGGGCTCCGAACGTGAGGAGCAGTGAAAGCTGGTCAAATAAATGTAAGCGAACTGAAAGCCTTTGAGAGGACCGTGAGAAGTGGTGTGCGACGAAAGCCAAAGAGATGGAGAAGGCATCGGTGGTAGGTAAGACCAGACAACTATTTAGACTGATTAGGGGAACGAGTTGTAAAATAGCAATGGTAAGCGAGACGATCTCCGAGAAGCAGGGTACTTTGATAACCCCTGAGGATAGAAGATTGAAGTTTGCAGGGAAGAATTTGAGGAGCAGTTCAGCTGGCCTACAGCCACGCTAAATTTACTCAGCGTCCAACACTTACCTGAATGGGATGTAGACATCGGTCTTCCAACTGTAACGGATGTAGCCAAAGCTGTCTGTAATCTGAAATGAGGTAGAGCATGCTAGCCTGGTGGTATGACTGCAGAGGTGTTAGAGGATGGATGGTGGTGATGAAGTATTGTGTGAGTCAACTGAGATATTCAGCAATATGTGGGAATCTGAGATAGTCCAGCTGGACTGGATAAAATCCTTGATTGTGCCAGTTGACAAGAAGGGAGACGAGTCGTCGTGTGATCATCATGAGTGGTTCAACTTGACTAATACGGAGTCCAATATCTTTCATAATCCTGTTCATATAATCATCTCCTCTTGGTCAGCAGTAACTTCAGACATGATGGGAGACATTGTCCCACCTGACGACCTACATCATAGAATCCACGACTGACACAATTAGGTGACACGGCTATAGGCTATCGATGTGGAGGGTTGGTAGAAGACTGCTGCTCCTTGTGGAACAACTGTGTAGACTCCGACCACGCCATAGTCTGTGAACGTGTATACTTACGACTGAAGGGGCATAGGAAACAGGTGGCTACACAACGTGTGCACGCCCAACTTCTTGATGAGAACACAAGCTCTTCATCTAGGAAATAGAAGAATGAATGTACCAATAACTGACTATCTGAATAAATAAATAAATAAAAAAAATAAATAAACAGATATATAATTAAACGTCTGTCTGAGATTGATATGAATAGGCATCATGAGGAAGCCGGGTATAATAGCCAGTCAGTTGGGTGTCGAAAGAGTGGTAGAGGCTGTTGACAGCCTGTCAGCAGTGGATTCCCCTTGCTTCATTCGAACTGGTAGACACAAGAGGACTGATTGCGATGGGCTCCGAACGTGAGGAGCAGTGAAAGCTGGTCAAATAAATGTAAGCGAACTGAAAGCCTTTGAGAGGACCGTGAGAAGTGGTGTGCGACGAAAGCCAAAGAGATGGAGAAGGCATCGGTGGTAGGTAAGACCAGACAACTATTTAGACTGATTAGGGGAACGAGTTGTAAAATAGCAATGGTAAGCGAGACGATTTCCGAGAAGCAGGGTACTTTGATAACCCCTGAGGATAGAAGATTGAAGTTTGCAGGGAAGAATTTGAGGAGCAGTTCAGCTGGCCTACAGCCACGCTAAATTTACTCAGCGTCCAACACTTACCTGAATGGGATGTAGACATCGGTCTTCCAACTGTAACGGATGTAGCCAAAGCTGTCTGTAATCTGAAATGAGGTAGAGCATGCTAGCCTGGTGGTATGACTGCAGAGGTGTTAGAGGATGGATGGTGGTGATGAAGTATTGTGTGAGTCAACTGAGATATTCAGCAATATGTGGGAATCTGAGATAGTCCAGCTGGACTGGATAAAATCCTTGATTGTGCCAGTTGACAAGAAGGGAGACGAGTCGTCGTGTGATCATCATGAGTGGTTCAACTTGACTAATACGGAGTCCAATATCTTTCATAATCCTGTTCATATAATCATCTCCTCTTGGTCAGCAGTAACTTCAGACATGATGGGAGACATTGTCCCACCTGACGACCTACATCATAGAATCCACGACTGACACAATTAGGTGACACGGCTATAGGCTATCGATGTGGAGGGTTGGTAGAAGACTGCTGCTCCTTGTGGAACAACTGTGTAGACTCCGACCACGCCATAGTCTGTGAACGTGTATACTTACGACTGAAGGGGCATAGGAAACAGGTGGCTACACAACGTGTGCACGCCCAACTTCTTGATGAGAACACAAGCTCTTCATCTAGGAAATAGAAGAATGAATGTACCAATAACTGACTATCTGAATAAATAAATAAATAAAAAAAATAAATAAACAGATATATAATTAAACGTCTGTCTGAGATTGATATGAATAGGCATCATGAGGAAGCCGGGTATAATAGCCAGTCAGTTGGGTGTCGAAAGAGTGGTAGAGGCTGTTGACAGCCTGTCAGCAGTGGATTCCCCTTGCTTCATTCGAACTGGTAGACACAAGAGGACTGATTGCGATGGGCTCCGAACGTGAGGAGCAGTGAAAGCTGGTCAAATAAATGTAAGCGAACTGAAAGCCTTTGAGAGGACCGTGAGAAGTGGTGTGCGACGAAAGCCAAAGAGATGGAGAAGGCATCGGTGGTAGGTAAGACCAGACAACTATTTAGACTGATTAGGGGAACGAGTTGTAAAATAGCAATGGTAAGCGAGACGATTTCCGAGAAGCAGGGTACTTTGATAACCCCTGAGGATAGAAGATTGAAGTTTGCAGGGAAGAATTTGAGGAGCAGTTTAGCTGGCCTACAGCCACGCTAAATTTACTCAGCGTCCAACACTTACCTGAATGGGATGTAGACATCGGTCTTCCAACTGTAACCGATGTAGCCAAAGCTGTCTGTAATCTGAAATGAGGTAGAGCATGCTAGCCTGGTGGTATGACTGCAGAGGTGTTAGAGGATGGATGGTGGTGATGAAGTATTGTGTGAGTCAACTGAGATATTCAGCAATATGTGGGAATCTGAGATAGTCCAGCTGGACTGGATAAAATCCTTGATTGTGCCAGTTGACAAGAAGGGAGACGAGTCGTCGTGTGATCATCATGAGTGGTTCAACTTGACTAACACGGAGTCCAATATCTTTCATAATCCTGTTCATATAATCATCTCCTCTTGGTCAGCAGTAATTTCAGACATGAAGAGAGACATTGTCCCACCTGACGACCTACATCATAGAATCCACGACTGACACAATTAGGTGACACGGCTATAGGCTATCGATGTGGAGGGTTGGTAGAAGACTGCTGCTCCTTGTGGAACAACTGTGTAGACTCCGACCACGCCATAGTCTGTGAACGTGTATACTTACGACTGAAGGGGCATAGGAAACAGGTGGCTACACAACGTGTGCACGCCCAACTTCTTGATGAGAACACAAGCTCTTCATCTAGGAAATAGAAGAATGAATGTACCAATAACTGACTATCTGAATAAATAAATAAATAAAAAAATAAATAAACAGATATATAATTAAACGTCTGTCTGAGATTGATATGAATAGGCATCATGAGGAAGCCGGGTATAATAGCCAGTCAGTTGGGTGTCGAAAGAGTGGTAGAGGCTGTTGACAGCCTGTCAGCAGTGGATTCCCCTTGCTTCATTCGAACTGGTAGACACAAGAGGACTGATTGCGATGGGCTCCGAACGTGAGGAGCAGTGAAAGCTGGTCAAATAAATGTAAGCGAACTGAAAGCCTTTGAGAGGACCGTGAGAAGTGGTGTGCGACGAAAGCCAAAGAGATGGAGAAGGCATCGGTGGTAGGTAAGACCAGACAACTATTTAGACTGATTAGGGGAACGAGTTGTAAAATAGCAATGGTAAGCGAGACGATTTCCGAGAAGCAGGGTACTTTGATAACCCCTGAGGATAGAAGATTGAAGTTTGCAGGGAAGAATTTGAGGAGCAGTTCAGCTGGCCTACAGCCACGCTAAATTTACTCAGCGTCCAACACTTACCTGAATGGGATGTAGACATCGGTCTTCCAACTGTAACGGATGTAGCCAAAGCTGTCTGTAATCTGAAATGAGGTAGAGCATGCTAGCCTGGTGGTATGACTGCAGAGGTGTTAGAGGATGGATGGTGGTGATGAAGTATTGTGTGAGTCAACTGAGATATTCAGCAATATGTGGGAATCTGAGATAGTCCAGCTGGACTGGATAAAATCCTTGATTGTGCCAGTTGACAAGAAGGGAGACGAGTCGTCGTGTGATCATCATGAGTGGTTCAACTTGACTAACACGGAGTCCAATATCTTTCATAATCCTGTTCATATAATCATCTCCTCTTGGTCAGCAGTAATTTCAGACATGAAGAGAGACATTGTCCCACCTGACGACCTACATCATAGAATCCACGACTGACACAATTAGGTGACACGGCTATAGGCTATCGATGTGGAGGGTTGGTAGAAGACTGCTGCTCCTTGTGGAACAACTGTGTAGACTCCGACCACGCCATAGTCTGTGAACGTGTATACTTACGACTGAAGGGGCATAGGAAACAGGTGGCTACACAACGTGTGCACGCCCAACTTCTTGATGAGAACACAAGCTCTTCATCTAGGAAATAGA